GCCTGCTAGTATATAAGTAGATATTTTATCAGCTACGATTTGCAAAACATGTTTGCGTTGTAGTATGCAATTTTAATTATAACCGAACTAGATATACGTTGACGATTATTTTTAGCTAGACTTAAAAACCTGATAAGATTAGGCGAGCATGTCCTGCGTAGACGAGGGACCTTCTGTGGGCGGGAAATTTTTCGTAATTTTTATTCTGATCATAATTACAATAAAGCCCTGGGATGAGAAGCTGGGGGGGGGGGGGGCAGGGGGCAGGAAAGGGGTCAATTTTTAGTCATAGGGACTAACGTCTCATTACTAGCAATATACCTTACTTGGTCGATCTCCTCACAAGTCTCCTAACTGAATTAGACATTGTAATTAATTCCTGATGAATTCATCACGACTGTCGACTGACCTGACTTCATCCTTAGATATCATACCTTACTTGTGTTTCGCCAGCTCTGTTACCATTTTAATTAGGCCCCGTCAAAAAGACGTACACGTATTATGGCAATACACGGTTACATTGACGCCAAACTCCAAATAATAAATATAGCATACGCAGGCCCTAAAAAGAATTTTGTTTACGTATGTTGTTTTCGAATAAAACGTGCCTTGTTAAATAACAATGCACTCGGTGTGGTTCGATAATACACAACTCTTGGCCTTTAAAAGCTCCCATGAGAACATTCACCGATGTCGCATTACTGGTACTATTAGTGTGAGGGTGCCTTTGATATTCTATTCTAGGCCATCTTCATTAGATACTTGAAGGTTTCTGATGTGGCTATTAACGGATAGTCTTACGTGGCCTCCGAAGTATGAGCCATTTTTTTTTATAGATTAAGATGGAATGGTGCATACGCCTATCCTAACGGTACACAATGGCGAGGCACTAGTGAATGACCTATCGTGAGGAATTCAGTTGTAATTAACCACGATTTTAGGGGGGGGGGGGATTGGATTATTAGTAATGGAGACTGAGAATCCCATTGCTAGCAATATACCCAACCAGGTCGACATCCTCGCGGTTCCACCTGGAAACTATCATGGTTAATTCCTGATGAATTCATCATGATGGGCTAACTGGCCTGTTTTCATTTTCATCGATCACCCTTCACTGGCGCTCCACTAGCGTATACCGGTAGCGCAGGTGGAACTGCCATTCCATTTTCATCCATCAAAAAAAAAAACAAGATTTGGGATCTACCTTTTAATAAATTTAAAACTGTTATTAAAAACGCTTATTAAACAAATCTTATTACACACTAAACGATTATTTGAATGATAAATAAACATACATGGTGTTTGTCGATCATGTATGAGCTTTTTAATGACCATATAATTATAGTCATAGTCATCACCTAAATAAATATATGTGTACTTATATGTATATGTTAACAGACATTTAAAAGAGCAACTATTCAGTTTCTTGTGGGCTCTTCTCAACAGATAACAACTTTCCGAACCCTGCAGTAGATTTAAAAAATGGCAATTTACAAGCGCTTGTAAAGTCTAATTTTTTGAATAAAAATGGTTTGACTTTGATGCACGAACTTTTATTTTTAAATATATCGAATTAGTACTTTTCATCTGTTACTTGATCCGTATGATCCGGATATGTTAATTGATTGGGGTAAATTGAAACATATGTACTTTATCATCACAAATACTACGTCTGTACAAAATTTTATGATATAACACATCAAATGGTAAAAAAAAAAAACAAAACCAGAAGGAGAATTTGTACAAAAGTCGTCTGCTTCGGTGCCGTTGTCCCATTCGTGTTTCTGCCGTGAAGCAGTTGTGTTTACATAGCTGTGTTTCGGTTTATAGGGTGGGATAGGGCAATGAAATTACAGGGTACAGTGGAATAACACCTTAATTCTCAAAAATGGCAACGCATGAAGGATATCTTGGGCGACAAACCTACATTTTGTTATATCAATAGTACTGTTTACGTCAGTAAACAACGGCTAGCACTTTCCATCAGGTGAACCGTCAACTTGTTTGCCATTCTAAGTTTCATAGAAAAAACACTTTCACATTTATAATATTAGTAAAGAGAAAGATGATAATTGTTAGTAATGGGCCTAGCTGTCCCATAAAGTATTTCTGCAGTAAAGATAACGATGGCATGGATTAATATAATTACTAACTGAACATTCTGTAAACAATATAAAATATTTTTTTATTATTAAATAGTAATAATATAAATTAAATATAAATCTTACTAATATTTATAATACAAATAATATAAATCTTGCTAATATAATAATTTTGTAAATTGATGATGATGATGATGAGATATTTGAGAAAAAAATTTATGAGGGGTGAGATAAGAGCAAAAGAAGTCAAAACAATGTTTCTTAGAAATTCTGTTTATATGTATATTTGTTCCGGCATCACGCAAAAACTACTGCACGAAATTGGATGCAGTTTTCATAGCTAAAAACTTGTTAATGATAAAAATAATAAAAATTCATAATGCTAAGAAATTAATTAAATAACTGCCAAAATTTAGTTCAGATGGTCAATATAATATTATGATTTAATAATATCATGGTTTAATGCAAATAAATCTAATTTTAATGATTCAAACATGATTTTGAAAAATTATTTGTTTTGGTTGTACTTAATTCAAACTTGGAAAATCGAGTTACAATCAAACATTGACTATCAGTGCTCAGATTATCATAAATTTGATTAATCCACAGATTAATTCTTGTTTTATCTGCATTTTGTTCTTGAAAAAATTATATATTAAACAAATGTAGAATTGTATTAACACAGAGAATTAAATCAACAGATATTACAATAATAGGTTGATTGCCCTAGCGATAAGACCGCCTTTTGTACCTTTATGTGTATATTTCAATCTGTATTTATGTTACTGTATTTCATTTGAATTATTCACTAGAGAGATTCAAGAGTTAAATAAATAAATATGATATGATATCACTAATAATATCAACAATAATTGAAATAATTATCAAATTTAAAAACATCTTCGTTATATAACAGACGTGATTATGATATTTTCAAACTGTCATATCATGATTGTATTGCAGAAACTGGAGTGCCATATAGATGCAGCCCAAATGAAAACAGTCTAGAATTTTAGTCTTGTATACCTAAAGAAAAAAACTGAACTAAAGACATGCAATAATCACAGTGTATTCTGTGATGTACCTACATAATGTTGTTTATATATCTATAATTGATGTTTACCACATTTCAAAGAGGGAGCTTATTTACCATTTCCAATTTTTTGTTTTTTTTTTTTATGAAATTTCAAATAGTAATATGAAATAAGAATACAGTGTATCACATCATCAAAATGTTTTAAGAAATAATAAACAAGAGCACAACTCAATATGCCAGTACAGTAAAGTACTGCCAGCTCAGTAAAGATATAGGAGCCTATCATTGTACTTTTAAGGGGGTTTCAAAGAGACCTAGCAATGGAAAATTATAAGCTGAAATGAATATGATTTTGTGAATACATATTGTATTCTTTTATTGACTATGTATATGATATAAAGATACTTTTAGTAAGCTTGTACATCTGAATAAAAGGTTATTTTATTACTAGCTTTTATTTGTGACTTTGTCTGTATAACCAGGATATAATCACTGACAGAGATAAAAAGTAGCCTTTATCCTTCTCTATTCCATATAATAGCTATATACTGAATTTCATAATGATTGGTTAAGTTGTAAAAGCACCAAGAGGTAACAAACAAACTCATTTTCACATTTATAACAAATATTTAGTGAGGATTTATTATTTTGTAATATAAACAGAAGATTTTATGTAAGCTTTTGCCTGCATCTTTATATATATATATGAATTTTGTATCAATAAAATAGAACAGTTTAGATGATATAATGGCATATACACCAAATTTTTAGATCATAAGGAACATAACTATGAAATTCATATTGATTTTTTTTCAATGGATGATAATTAAATAGTTACCCTGCTTGCAATAATGATTATACTAATAGGGTACCAGTGAAAGATATGTGATGATAAAAAGGCAAGTCAGTTAGCCCATTGTGCAAAAACATTAAGAATTAATCACAATGGTTTCCAGACGGAACCACATGGAGGTAATGGAGGTATACCCTATAGAATATATTGTTAGCAATGGGGTTGCTAGCCCCCATTACAAACAATCCTTTCTCCCCCCTACTGCATCAAATTTGGTGGAGTAGTTTTTGCATGACATCAGAATGGAAAGTATAAATTTCTTTTAACAATTTTACAACTAACAAACTAGAAAGCAAGAGGCCATTTTGTAGAATGTCATAAAAAGTCAATTTATAATTAAACACATGCAACAAATATAGTATTTATTGCAAATATAAATTGTATTAGGAACTAATTCTTGAAAGTAGACATTCAAGCCTTATTTAGACATATCCTTGTAAATAAACAAGTTACAGTCTGGTATCCGAGAAATGGTTTCAGGAGCTGAGGTGGTAAAGTGCGAAGATGGGAGAACAAACTGAAAGTGATGCTTAGATCGCCTTTGGCTACAAGTGGTAGCTAATAAAAATCAGTAGGTTCTGGAGGAGGCCTATGTTATAAGACACGCTAAATGTTAGGATATTGTAAATAGTTGAACATTATTCTTTAAGATAAAATATACAAATTAGTATTGAAATAAAGGCTTTATGTAATATTATTATAAATAACAATCACTAGTATTGTATTTGTGAAAGTTTCATAAAAATGTTTATTACTTAATCATGATAAACAGTTGCACTGGTTTCGATGAAATTTGCAACATCAATGTACCATATGCTGAATCAACCCTCACTATTCTTATTCTAATTCATGTGAGCAATGCCGCGGGATACAGCTAGTAATAAAAATTAACAGTTCGACGCGATATCGAGCAATATTAACCGTCATTCCATAAACTGTTACCAAGTACAGATTTCATTTTTGGTGCACAGCTTGCCTTTGTCAAGTTAAAAAGTAGAATTCTACTCACCTAAACAGCATACTAGGAACTTGAACAGCGTGAACAGCAATGCGTTGTAGAAATTAGCATCGTAGTAATTGGCGTCCGTATCAAAGATATCACCGTGGTCGACCGTTACATTGATGAGTAGGGACATATCCTCGCCGCTGGACACCGGCAGCCCGAGGCTTATCTTCAGGAATTCATCCACCACAAACAGCGGAGGCACCCTCAGTAGGACCTCCACCAGAGCGAGGGCTTTTGACCTCAAAGACATAATTCATTTATGCTGCCAGTCGCGTACGTTATCACACCCAACTTAACCACCCCGGCCGAAATGGACGGTTGGCGAACACACCAAAATTACTTTTATGATCAATTTTGTAGTTTTTTTAGTACAATTTGTAATCACGTAATAAAATATAAAAATAATGACTGAAATTTTTGTTAGAAAAGAAATTTGACGTTACAGTTAGGGGTGTTGCCAGTTATATTTTTTTTAACGGCTTAACGGGATTGCCAGTTTACGAAATTTTAAGGATGCGATCATATTTCAGTAAAATAAAAATGTGCATGACACTAATTTTCCATATTTTTGTGGAATTTTATTTCGATCTCTATAATATGTAAATTTTTTCTTATTATTGTAAAAAATAAAAATCCGGAATAGAATTTTCATAAATTATAGATTATTATTCAGTATATATTTATAAATATGGAATGGGCAGATAAATATCTTTCTGTTTTTCTCTATATATGAAAATCCTATATGATGTTCATTCACATTCACATTATTTTCCTAAATCAGTATTTTTTTAATCAAATTTCGTAATGCACCTAACAGCAACTATAACTGTATATACATTGTTTGTTCTAATGTAAGAGATAGGATAGTTATTAGTCAAATAGGAAAGATAGATGGCGCTAGAGGACAATATTTTTTGTTCTTAGAATACTATTCATCAATCAGTACTCTAAAATTACAAGCACCAATTAAACACTCTATAAAGATTACAAAGTACAAATAATATTTTTTCAACTAACTTAAAAATAGGGCATATTTTTTTATGTTTGTTACCTCATAATTCCGTCAGTAACTGTTTTGAAAAATTCATTTTATTATATGATAGGAAATACCTACTTATAAAATAGTTATATAGAAATTAAATTAAAATCGAATTAGTAGTTTAGTTTTAGGTAAAAATAATTTGTTTTGTCACAATTGAAATCGATTTTTTTAGGGGGATACAATCTTTAATTATAATGTATGAAAATAGAAAAGTATATTCACCTGTCTAATTCACCTAAAATTAACTTTTCAAGCTGTACTGCTTCTAGAGTAAGCTGTATAGCCTACCTGGCGTCCCTGGGCAAGGCGGCGTCCTCTCTTACGACGAAAACAAAAGATCAAAAACCTTTAACGGTAACGTTTTTTTTATTTTTTAATGAATGATAATGGAACATTAACCCTGCCTACGTTATCGATATACATTGACGAAGCTTTAGTGAAAGATGACAGGTAAAGATAGAAGCAGGTAATTTAGCCTATCATGATGAATCTAACAAGAATTAATCACAATGGTTTCCAGGATATCCACGTGGAGGTCGACGTGATAGATTATATTGCTAGTAATAGAACAGTTTCCATTATTAACAATCCCTTACCCCTTTGGCGGTAATGGTTTCCTATAGACTAAGCGGTTGCCATTTTTCCTTCAAATAAACTATCAGCTTGTTTAGCATTTAAAAATGATATAGGCACTTCGATATTTCTTTAAAAAAAAAACGTAAAAATAATATTACATTTATTGATTATTTCTGTTAACATCGTATTTACCTTGCAAAGTGAATGCCTACTTGATACTCGTAAATAAATAGCTACCTATCTATTAAAAGTTTCAAACGATGGCAGGAAACTTCGAAAAGCTCGACAGAATCGATTCAATTTTGTCTGGCTTCAAGTAGGGCTTCCCCTTTCAGAGAAAATTAAAAACCGACCAGCCATTGAGGGGTATTGTTGGAAGCTTTTATGGAAAGCAACGAGACATTTCTTACCCGAGTGCCAAAAAGAGAAATGTAATGATTTTCGAGAATATTTATAATTTATTTTCTAATTTTGTATATTCAGTTTAAATACTAAACATCGATCGATATTTGGCGTATTTAAAATTATTTTCTCCCCTAGAAAGGGAGATTTACCAGTAGTTGCCACGCTTAGCAGGCGGATTGGCAACCGCAATTAGACTTTGGCGATATTTTAAGAGGGACACTGCTGCCCATTCCTCGCCCCTTAATTTTCCTTAGTCTTCTCTTACAACGCTTGGGACAACAACATGGAAAAAGAAAGGGTGATCCATTCTATGTTAGAACCACACGGCGTCGAATGCTAAATGTCGAATAAAAAATAAACCATTTGTTATATTAAAGTTTTTGTATTAATTGATTATACAGGGTGAAATGTATTCCATTAGATAATATTTTTTTTTATTTATTTAATTTAGAACCATACAATAATAATTAATGAACAATATATAAAAAATACAATTACAATAATATACCTATGAATTTCTATAATAATATTTAATATTTACAGGAAATACCCACCCATTCAAAAAACAGCACAGTAAACTAGTAACAATTATACAAATATATAGTATTAAATGTATATATATTATAGTACCCAAGTACTTAATATATATATATATATATATATATATATATATATATATATATATATATATATATATATATATATATATATATATATATATATCAGGTATTTTAATTAAGACATTTTTGTAGGTTGTCAAAGAACAATTAATAATTAAATCTACTTTTCATAATACTAAGTTTAATTGTACAATTTACACGCTCACCTTAGAAAGTTATTACTGACATAACAAGTTCTGCAATTAAGTATTACAAATAAGTATTTTTTAACACAATCTCGCTTACATTTATGAAATACAGAAAAATCATCTATGATGATATTTGTTCAAAATTAACCTTTTTATATATCTACTTTGACAATTGTAGTTTTTTTTATAAAAAAGAAAATCGATAAAACAATTGAAATAGAACAAAAATATATACAATACATCAAGTGTACAGACGGCATTTTTATTTACAAATAATATAATTAATAAATAATATATACATAACAAGAACCAGCATATTTTACAAACAATATTCAATATCATAAATAAAAAAGTAGCATCAAAATAATGATGACATTTCTCTTAGGACATAATATAACGTTGTTTATGGGAGGTAATCCACAAATTAATAGCCAGTTAGTTCTGTATTCAAATTCTTTAATAAACCTTTTCTGAATCCTTTCTATTCCATCTATATGTTCTGTAATGAGGATGCCAAACAGTGCAAGCAAATAATATTGTATAAGTAATGTTTGACAAAGAGTTTCAACCGTAAAGCAGTTGTATTTGCATGGCTGTGTTTTGGTTTGAAGGGTGGGATATGGCGTGAATTTACTGCGTACAGAGGAATAACACCTGAGTCCTCAGGAATGGCAACGCATGGGGGGTATTATGGGCGAAACAGTATACTCTGTTATGTCCATGGTACTGCTCATGTCTATAGGCAACGGTTACTACTTTCCATCAGGTGGGCCGTCAGCTTGTTTGTCATTCTAAGTTGTATATAAAAAAAGAGAATTATCATTATAAATATTTTCACACAGAATAAATGAATAATAATAACATATAGATTCAATGTTCTCACAAAGATTGAGCGTAAATAGCTTTTTTTGCCGATGTTTAAATAGTACTTAAGTAAGAGCAATATGTAATATTTTCTAGCGTTTATAACCGGTAACTGTACACTCATAAACAGAGTGTAATCTCAAAATGACAATCATTATATTCGATAATACTGGCTGGATGAGCATTGATGGTTAAAAAAAAAAATAAATACTCTGTGGTAATGTGGCGGCAAATAGAACACACTGTGAAGGCACGCGCCTGGCACGCGCGGCCCGCTATCCCCCTTTTGTGATTAAATGTAAATCAATAGTTAAGAATCTAAGAGATAATTTGAGAATCCGCAATAAAATATCGAATTACGGACATTGTCTTTTATTTACATTTCCGATTGGGCAGTATCATTTTACATCGCCGTTTAGTCGGTCGATTAAAATATCATTGTTTTTCATGGGAACTTCGTAAAGTGTTATCTTTGCAAATGATAGAGGGGGAATCCTTAGGGTGGGCCGTTGTTATTAGGTTTCAGGAAATGGTTATTAATTATAATTCGCTGGAACGAAGTAAAAGTACTTTAAGTAATATGTCATTACATTAAGTATAATTGGTCATTAATTAATTGAAGACGTGGTGATAAAATAACATTACATCTAGATAGAGATGAGAATCTAAGACCATGAGTTCGGGTATAGACTTACCGACTAATTCTTTTGCGATGAAACACAAAGCGAATTAAAAAAAAAAAACAAATCAATAATATAAATGTTAGACTTTCATTCCAGACAATTTATCATATTCAAGACTAGGCAGCATGGTCTCCGACCTTAGCCTGTTACTCAACGGAACAAACGTACTAAAAAAAAAGAAACGTTAGTAACTATGTCTAATACTTTTAAACACCAGGGAAACAATCAACCCCATCTTGGTTTCGAAATTACAGTGACAGAAAAAAATATATTTAAATATAATTATTTAGAAAAAATATACCTACACAGTTGTAATTTTTTCTCCTATTAAATATTACCGAAATTGTATTAAAAATTTATAATAAACTAGAGATTTGCCCCGACTTTGCACTAATATATAGATAGAAAGGTAAATCAGTATTGTTTATTTATTGTTTATTGTATTATAATAATACTTTACTATAGGTGAAAAAATGTTTATATTCGATTGTTTTTTTCTTATCCATTACAAATAAACATACAAATAATCAAACTTTTCCTTTTTACTCTTTATAATATAAATAAAATAGTATATTTTAATACAAGTATACAAGAAATAAAATGTGTTTACAATCGTAGCTGTAAAACACTCGACTCAATGGCCACCCCTTGATCAAACAGTTACCTGTCTAGAGATCAAACAGTACAAAAAACACTTGCGGATTATCCTATAGGCAAATACAGGTGGTATGTTGCGTAAATTATTATGCGGTTGGCTGCCTTGTTTGTACGAAGTCTAGTTTGAAGACTTTGTTAGTGGTATAACAGATTTTATCGATGATTTAATTTCCGTAATAAAATTTTCAACTATTTGTTTTGTTTTATACAACTTAGAATGGCAAACAAGCTGACGGCCCACCTGATGGAAATTGGTAACCGTCGCCTATAGACATGAGCAGTACCATGAACATAACTGAGTATACTATTTCGCCCATGATACCTTCCATACGTTGCCATTCCTGAGGACATTCTGTTCACTGCTGAACATAAGCTTCCCCTGGGTTGTTTTGCCAGTAGTTGCCATGCTTGGCAGGCGGATTCG